GTTAACGATCTTAGTAGCTGTCCGCACCTGGAATACAAATGAAGCCAACATCAACCAAAGTTATCAGAAAATATCATTCAGCAGGTCTTTCAGACTGGGGCGATAACAAATCATCACAGTTGGTATTAGCTTACCAAGTATATCCATTGGACCTTTGGAAAGCATCGAAACAGGCTGATTAACCTACAATGGTAAAAACAGCGCTTAATAAGAGAATCAGAATATATTATTCAACAAGTCTTTCAGACTGGGGCGATAACAAATCATCATCGTAGAGGAATTTACCTTATTATTTAGTTTGTCTGATATTTTCACATTTGTCGGTATTCAAACAAACCTGAAACATTAGAGATATTTTAGAGGAATTCAGAAAATATCGTTCAACAGGTATTTCAGACTGGGGCGATAAAAATGGCATCATTTAAAATCGATAACTTACAATCAACAAGAGAGACACAACCATGCCATAGATATAATGAGTTGACCGCATGCGCAGCGCATACAAGTTGACACTTTTAAACTATAAACTCAGGGTTTTTTCCAATATTAAAAAACACAGATAAAGACTGATTATTTTATAATATACAACTTTAGTTGTAGGCAATAATTTTATAAGTCAGTAAAACAGCTGACTTGAATTGATCATCTCATTGTATAATTAACGTATTCTGTCACCTTCCAAAAAACAACTTCCTTTAGAGTTTGTTTAAGAAAACATGTTAATTGTTTGAGTTTCTAAAACTGTTATTAGTTATTTTTATATAAACTATTAAAGCCAACTTTATATTACCTAACTAACTATTTTCGAATGCGACTAAGTAAGAGGAAAAGAGTTGAGCTAAGTTAATATTTTAAGTAGTTGCAACGAGCAGAAACCAGATCGTAGTGGTCAAACTAAATGCTCTTCTTATGTTCAAATAGAGTTAATGTCATTCATTGCGATATTAGTATTTATAAATTGAGAGCACTGTTGATATCTATTATCTAAGTCTAATCTGCCATTCAATTATAAGAGAATAATTATCACATTATATTATGACAATGAATCATTAATTAGCCAAAGGGCAACTTTTAAATAAAATTTTTATCAAATGCGTAATTTCTTTAAAAGATAGGATTTTTATCTGGATATAATGAATGATTTGGCAAAATGGTGTTCTTCCTAAAGCGGTGCATCCTCAATAGATCAATTCTTTACATACAAATCCCCAGTAATTTGCCAAAATTTTAATAATATATCAAAATATGAGCCGTGTGACTTACTGCAAAGTAATATTCGGTGACGTTAATTACTTGAGCAGTCGTTTAATGATTTTTTAATAAAATACGGACAGTCAATTTATGTCTTAAAATAACAGAAATATTTGTTATGTCTTATTGTGTTTAAATGGTAGAAACTAAAATGAGGAATTAAGAACGCTCTAGACTTGAATAGTAGTTCAAAGTAAGGGGGCTGTAAAGGCCAGAATAGTTAAACTTTGTAAATTTTCATAAAACCAATGATTTCCTAATGTTGGCATTTGGCAGCACCCTTTATTGAACGAATTTACAATGAATAACTTATTAATAGAGAAAATGAGGGGAAAGAAATGTCGCTTCAGGGCCTGGGCGTGTCAGACGGTGGCAGACAGCCAATCCAGTTATGCTTCGAGTCAGTGACGTTTTGTAGGAACTTGGTTGATAAACCGCACATCAAAAATCATCAACTGACAAATTTAAAAGGGAGTCAAAGTTAGACAGAGCAGGTGCTCTAGTCGAACTGTGGGGATACTATGCGATAAAATGAACATATAATGAAGATATCGGGAATGCAATAAACTAAATGATCTTTAAGAAAAATGGAAGGGAAATATAGGTATTTTAAAAGGAGCACAATTAGCTGAACATAAATAGTAGCGATAACAAAAATCGAGGATGATTTGTTACTATATTTATAACATAAGGGAGCCTTGTGGTAAATTTTGTCTGGTCCTATTGGCGTAAGTATATCAATGGTAAAGCTCAAAGACTAGTGAACTGAAGTAATCCTAGTTAAAATAAATTCGATTATTTGCTTTTAACACAAATTCAAGCGTATTCGATGAATTTAGAGGACAAAATACATTTGGATAGTGGAAAGGATTTATGTTTGTCTACAATACTAAACAGACTCAGTGCATTTCGTTTAGCTGCATTTTCATCAACAGTTTATCCCCTATTACTATTATATGAGTAAAAACACTGTACTGATTGCTATAGAAATAATTTAAACATCCATCAATCGAATTACAATAATATCTGCCTGTATTCCATAAAAATGTATCAAAGTGTTAAAATAAAGCAAAGGTATATAGATTGAACTAGCCTTGCAAAGTATACCTCCAAACATTATAAAGTAACATTAATTTTAAAAGAAGCTTTGCAATTTATTTAATTGCAAGAACATATCATGGATAGAGATAAAAGAATTGGCGTTACTATAATTAATCCAAGTGACATACTTATGCTCCATTTCTCAAGCAAGATAATCATTAGAAAGCAAATCATATTATACTCAAATATAGAATAAATAATTGCAAATGGAGCGCAATTTACATAAAAAGAAATCAGTATTGTTTAGATAATTAGAGTACATTCTGCCTATTAGGAATTGCATGAAGGTCCAATTACTGCTTCGTTCCTGTGAATATTCCATTTTTACTAATTTATTTCTAAACATCAGAGTTGTGTGGCGGGTTAAAGCTTTGTATTTTTTAATTGCACGTTCAGCTTATTATGTGTTTCTTATTTTAATTTTTCTATTGGCTTATCCTCATTTTGGTGTTTATTTGGTATTATTAAGGAATCTTGATGACTTAATCTTACAATTAGTGCATAATTCTTGAAATTTTGACATATTTAGATTTTTTGCACTCTGCTAATTTTTACCTGTTTATGAATACCTTTTTATTAATTAAATACATTATGGATCATACACAATCTTCTAAGCACTATACATTTTATTATGATGACTGGCTTCTATTTATCGTCAATAACATACCTACCTATTTAATTTTGGCATTTTATATCTCTAAAAAAGCTTCCTTTATCCTGTAGACTAATGAATGGACTTCGCGGTGACAATTTAGGGGACCACAACCTTCCCTTCGATCAACTTCAAATTTCAGACGTTCCTGCTAACGATAAGATGGAGACATCATATTCCAACTCAGTATGTTACAGACTACATCTTCATTGTTTTAAGTAAAAAAATATTTGACATGAAATTAATTATTATACCTAACACCTCTTTCATTTCGCAGAATGAAAGCAGTCTCTGCACGCCAGAAAAGTCCTCGCGCAAGAATGTTCTTGTCAAGATCTCAGCTGTAGCCGACATTGAATCCACTTTTGAAGTTGCTGCATCTCCAGATTATGCTTCGCCTTCAGTCTTGAATAATTCATTTGAGGCTAATTTCCAACAGGAAAGTGGCAATAATCGACTCTCGAAACATGATCTTTTTGATCCTGATGATTGTACTTGGAACCCCCGACTTCACGTTAGTTGCACTTTTATGTCTTCGGTTTTATTAACTATACAAGCAGTGTCGTTTCATTGACTGCATTCAATCTGTCGCATAACTGGAAATCTAAACAACTTCCCACCCTTAAATTAATCTATTGTTTAATTAATGATCATTTGGGTTATCAAATAAGGTATATTTTAGTATGCATACTTTCAGACGCTAATAGATTTAACTATGAGTGAATTAAATAACGAATTTGCCAAATGAAAAATACATTTTTTAAAATTGTAATTAAGTGATGAAAGCGGCTCAGTAGATTTGATTTCCCATAATTACCACCAGTCTTCCTAACAGCTTACAAATTGCCACTGCTCTCCCATATTTGTCTGCGTGCTGACAAGTGTAACCCATTTTTTGTCTGGTGGCTTTACCAATTTACCTAACGTTCAATGTCTCATTAGCTATGGAATTGATGTACTTAAAGAACGTTTGAAGGCTGCTACTCCCCATATTCAGTCCACGGCTGTGATTACTCTTTGCATGCTCAGTACATCGGAGTGGATCCATTTTTATCGCATGGAAGGATGCGCGTTAACTCCTATCTGCGATTTCTCTGAAATGGCCACGTTAAGGGTAGTTATCTTCATTTTACCCCTTACTTTCCATAGGCAACGTCTGGTGGTGGAAGACGCTATCGTTGTCGGTGTTGTCGAAAGAAATTTCTTCGCAAACGCGATCTCAATAGGCATCAGCACATCGTCCATGGGGTTCTGGCCTATGTCTGCAAAACTCGAGGATGTACGCAGCGCTTTGAGACAATGACTGATCTTGTTAATCACCGCAGCCGAGTGCACTTCACTAATCGCACCCCGAGAAACTGCAAACTTTGTAATCGCAAATTCGTCACCGAAAAGTCGCTTATGGTATGTTGACATTTTACTCGGGAGAACTTGTCGAAACATCCTAGTTGGGATATTTGTTTTTCCGTCAAAAGGAATTGAGGTTTCCAAAATTTGGCATAAAACGGAGAGACAAATGCGCAGAATTAGAGGGTGGTGCAGTGAAATAGCGTGCTCGTCTGCTAGTTGGCGGTGGTCAGGGGTTCGATGACCCCATTGGTCTGCACACAGGCAGTGTGTAGTAGAAATTATGGTTTGATTTTAAGCTACTCAATTTTCATACCATTCTTGAGTCACTACTCGTCATTAATTCATTTCAAGCATTATTTATTGCTGTCATTCATAAATTATCCTGACTTATTTAATGCTCAAACCTTTGATGCTCGAGTTATTTTGTTTTGCACAATGCACCCAACCGCACTCACGTGTGCTGCCTCACAGCAGTAGACTGATGTCGCCGACGTGATGAGTTTTGGTGGTGCCTCAGGCGAAGGCTATCGACACGTATTGAGCATGCTTCAAGCGGCAATAGCGAGTCTAATACCAATGGAGCTTACTTTGAAAGAGAACCGTGCTGTCCTAAGGGTGTTAAGGTGGTTAATGGTTTAATTTATAATGGGGATTACCTTATCCCTAATGACTGTATTATAAATGATAGGGAATGAAATTTTTCGCTGAATATTTTTCTTTTTTGGTGTATTTTTTTCGATTTCTAAAAAATCAAATTGTTTTATTTTGTGACTTTCACCAAGTTTTATAGCCTTCCTTCCCTTCATAACTTTTTTTTTCGAGAAGGAAACTAATTATCACATTCCGGTATTGTTTCCCGATAGAAACATTTGAAGGCTATATTAACTGCATTTTAACTTAGATTGGGCAAGGAATGGATTAGTTCAGTTCCAATTTCAATCACTATTGGCTCAATGCTGTTTTAGTTTGGTGGTTGACTTGCATTTCGTGAAGAACGTAGGTTGCATTTGCACCTCTTTCCACCTAGTTATCTTGTTCAAGGCCTGATTTCTAGACTATCGATATGAAAATTATCCGTTTCTTCAAAAGTTAATATAAATTCGGATAATGTCTAGTGAATTTTATCCACTATTTAGCCCAGAATGAGCAATATTTGCTTGTTCTCTTACGCTCATTGGCCTACAGTAGTCGCTATGCTATATCTTTCACCTCTAAAGTCAGTCAAACACAGATTATTGATTAATCATTATTACTCCCAACACCACATTTACAAGCGCTACTTCAAAAATTCTTTTTTTCTTTTTGTAGATGCATCTTAGATGGCACAACTTACGGCCATTCCGATGCAAGAAATGCACAGTATACTTGCGAACTCCTAAAGAGTGGTCTGAACATCGGCACAGTGCGTATGCGGTGGAAAAAGACCAAGCAAAACCGAAAAATTCGCCCAAAAATGCAGGTACGCTTCATTTATCAACCACACACACAGTTTTCGCGCCTTTACCAGCTTTCATTCTGGTCTATCTTCTTTCATCGTGCGAATGTCTTCGAAAGGGGCAAGCGCATTTGAGTACCGGGCGGGGTTGACACTTCAGTACCCACTTGAGTTTAGTGCACATCAGGACATTAATTTCTACTGTTTAGGCAATGGGAACAGCAATACAGCGTACTTTTCAATATATTTTTGGGAACGGTAGCGGATGATGCAAATTGGTCACTCATCTAGATATTTATGGTCATCTTTAGCGAGAAAATGAAATTGTAAGTAAGCAAGACTACATCTCTGTGCGAGCTCTTTACCAGATGTTTCACTTGACTTGTAGCTCCGCTTTCAAAGAAGGAGGAAAAAGAAATACAAGCAGTTCTTTCCAGACTTCCGGCTATTTTGGTAACGTTATAGCTAAATTTTTTTATATCTATGTAGACGATTTCTAATCGTTGACTTATGTTGGTGTCTAGCCAAAGCCACCTCGTGGTAATCATCTCAAAATTCCCATTCCGCCATTCCATCCTATTTCCTCTTCTGATTCTCGTGAACTTCGGCCTTTGATGCCCGCATCTTTTGTCAATTCCTTCCCTGAAGAAAATTATGTTCCCATTTATTCCTCTCGTCCATCACCGGCCACTGATCATGTCTCCGAACAAATGGTAAAGTTTATTCCTATTATTTTGTCTACTTAAGTTATTTCAGTAAAATTAATTGTTATTGAAAATTTCAGGTTCACCCTCCCATTAACGCAATCCTTCCACCTCAATATCCCCAAGCAAATTATGAAAATATCTACCCCATAGATTCCTCTTATTACATTCCACGTAAAGCTACCATTTTGCCACTTAACTGTTTGCTCTACTCTGCTGCTTTACTCATTAATCAATTGCTCATTTTAGCTTATCAGCATATTGAGATTAGTGATCAGACTAATAGTGGATATGGCGTTCAAATGGAGACAGATTTTGGAATACCCCCAGTGGAAGTGGTCGATCTCAATACATATCCCGTGGAGATTACTAGTCCAACGGACATCAATTGGTCGAGCTCGGATTCCTTTGGAGTCGATCAGAGTCAAAACTGGGTGAGCGCTTCTTGAGGGTAAACTTTTTGATTTTATCCGTTTTCAGGCGGTATTCAATTGATATTTCTTTTTCACAGCTTCAACCGATAAACCTCTATGGGGAAGGCCAGCAAGATGCAGAACTCATGCAAATGGTTGAGGAGACACTAAAAGGCGACTTGAACCAAGACCTCTAAGTTTTCCCCTTGAGACTACTGATGCATTTATAGTATATATATATGTATTACTTAAGTTGTCTTTCAATAACGTGTTGCTTAACGTTTCTTGCTGTCAAATTTTGTATTGTGCAGCAGATAACTTTGGCTGATATTTAATTCGCTTACTTAAAAAATAATAGTTTGTCTGCTTTACGACTTGGTTTTAAATAAAACGGTACTAAGAGATAGCGTACAAAACCTTCCCAATTTTAGTAATCCTTTTTATCTAATCGTTAATGCCAGTTTCATATCGCATTGTGCACAACGGCGCAGGGTAGCGATACCAGAGATCTATAAACAAAAAATTCTAACAATAAATAATTCATTTGATGAATTCAGGTATATAAGGATTGATTCATTCGAATTTTTGTTTTCAAATAGAGCTAAGAATATTTTCAGATCATTTGGTCTAAATAGAATCAATAATTTATCGGAAGAAAAGGGAGGGACAAGGTTGGGATTGATCTATTCAAATGCAAGGCTATTTTGAACTTGGCCGAATTTCAAATTGTTAAGCAATTGGGCTGTAAAAAGAGGAAGTTATTTGTGTGATTACTTGTAGATACAACGAGAGCACAAATAACATCAAGATAATTGGTGTGAGAGTGAATGAATTCTCGAAGTTCGAATGATTGAAAAAGCGCATTGGCTGTCACATATCTGCGATTTGGGAACTGTCAGCTGCTAAACACACACACACACAGGCTTAGTTCGTAATCAAACCACTGGGATGGGTGGGTGGTGGGGGTGATTGGATTGGTCAAAATAGGCGGCGGGTAAGCGCTGAAAATCTCCCACTAGCATTGAGTACAATCCAGGCACTTAATTGATGGGATATGGTTTCAATAGTTGGAGCTTATTGACCGATAGATAATGAACTGGAAGTTGGCCATTTCGGAGCATTTTACCCTCGTGGCAGAAGAGGAGGGAGGGGTGCAGTTGCGGTTGCCTCAACTGCTCATTCGAATTTGCTCAGAAAGACCTCGAATCATTCAAAGAATGGCAAATCAACGGAAAGTATGCTTTCTAAACGGCATCCACTTTGGAACCCTTGAGAGAGATAAGCTGAGAGTTCTGAAATAAACAATGCTTGATTGCCAAGATGTACTAATCACCACCAATTTTTTACTTAAAGAGGTGCTTTTCAAAGTCACCCACCTTTCTAATAGAAGGAAAGGAGTGAAAAGTACCTTCACTTGTAGAGTGCCACAACTTTGATTTTCAAAAGTTTCTTGCTTCAAGGTTGCTAAGTGAATATAAAACTCCATTTGATATAAACACGGCCAACGCGCCTGCATCAATTCAATATAACAAAAAAACTGGAAAGTGAAGGGAATACCATCTCACCCAACTTCACACCATCGGCGATTTAGAGACCACGAATCAACGTTCTAGTCTCCTTTCAGGCATCAATAATCAGAAATCCAATAATCTCGTAAGGCCTAGCAGAAGGCAACACCCTGAATTGAGATGCGTGCATCGTGTCGGACAACGATAGAGAAAGAGAAAAGAAAAGTGACTGACGAGTGGAGATCGTGATTACGTGTTTACGTGACGGATGAATTTTTGCGTAAAAGCCAAATCATTTATTTTTTATTTGTTTATATCAAATGGCAGGCTTTATGATAGTTATCAATAGCCCATTAGTTGGTTTCAGGCTTCACAGAGAGAAGGAGGAACATCAGAGTGAAAAAAGTCGAAAGAGGGGGGACGGATCAGAAGAGTGATTCACAGACATAAAAGAGACAGACACGAAGGTAGAGGAAAAGGTAAGATGAGATGAGTACTGTGGTAGTGGTCGAATATGACATACAGTTGGGTCATAGTAGCTTGAAGTCAGAAGTTAACTGCCAGTTAATAGACTTTGTATCTACTTAGACCCCCATTGAAGAATGCACCGATGGCTTTGTTGCTTAGCTTAGAGGGAAGGATGTACAATTACAACAAACTTAATACTACAAAGTAAAAGCAAATTTAAATAAAACGTGCTATCGATGATAGACCTGATGTTAGATTGAGGCACACGAGCTTGATTGGTGCCTCATGTTGACTGTACAGGACACAAGATGATAGGGAAATAAGGAGTTAGTTGAATTGGAATACATCACGACTACGTCAAGCACTACTTCTACAACACGAAGTCAATAATTGCTTTAGACCAAGGCCCACGAAAAGAATTTCTTTTTCTTGTGACAAATTATTATCTTGATCATCAAAGTTGAATATGAGTTGACGAACTCATCTTCTCTCTGTGGATTGTCTTTATAAAGGTCAAACAAATTGAACTTTTAGCAGTTTCAAATTTCAAATAAACTAACGTAGGCAATTCAACGCCTTCCTCTCAAATCAAAATTTAATCAACTTAATTCCATATAATCAGATAAATTATTTTCCTCTTAGTTTCCTAATCATTTTTAATGTCTGCATTTGGATAATCGGTTGGAAACGGATAATTATGATTAAGTATAAGGGAGAGTGTTCTAAGTAAACTCCACAGTCTAAACTTTACATAAAATTGCCCATTCTAGTGATTTTCTGTTTTTATTTTAATTTTGGTCCGAGTTAAAGCGCTGTATTTTACTTGCGTTCAAAGAGTAGAAAAATAAATCTTTGTTTAACTGTATTGATTTCGAGGTACGTTTTGCTAAGGCATCTTTCTTACCAGTTATCTTTCTTCGTGGTGTTCTTTGTCAAGCTTTTACCACCCCCTTCCCCCCTCCCCCTCCCCACTTCTGTAACTAAAACTCTCTCAAATGGATTTAGGTACTGTAAAATAAATTCTCTCATAATTGTTTTAACTATGCTGAATATCTTTAAGTAATTGGTTAGTTAGTTAGTTAGTTCGCAACGATTGTAAATGTTTTTCGGAAGATAATAGGTGACTATTGAATTCAGGTCAAAATGGAATGAAACGCAGAATGCAGACAGTCGATTTTGCACTAGTGTGTGTGTGGTTTGGGAAAAAAAATGATTGCAGGAAACTTTTAGGAAGTAAAGCGTCAGCACTATTTATAGGCAAATTTTCATTGCTAGGCTTTAATGGCATGTGACGAAATAATTCGAGCAGGAATAGCTCTAAAATGGTTGGTCAATGGTAATATTATTTAACTTAATTATACATTGGTAAATTAGTGATTTTTCAATAAATATCGTCATTTAGATAACTTTCATTTTTTTGCTTGTTTACTTAGACAAATGTAAATAATTAATAGCCCCTTTGAGGAGTGTCTAGTATTATTTAATGTGACAAATTCTTTATCGTAAAATGCATCATTAGAGTTGTATCATTGCAAATGCAGTACGGAAGTGGTTAATATTTTTGTTTCTTCAAGTTTCTAAAGAAATTTCAAAATTATCGTTAAATTACGCACTTTATATCTGTGTTCCGAAATGTCTAACATTTTAATTCTGTATTTTTTTCTGATAGATGTGGTAGGAATTGAATTATCCACTCTAGGATGCTCCAAATTTTATGACCTCGACATTGTGGAATGTGAGTAAAGCAATGTTTACAACAGATTTTTGGAAGAAATTAATAGCATTGGCGGGTTCAAGTCTTAATTGAATTATTTAAACTCACTTACTGAAATCTATGTCTTGTGCACAAATATTGGGCCCATATAGACTGTTGACCTGATAGTGCATTAATTATCTCATCGTCCAAATATTCAACACAGCGATTTCAATTTATTCACTCACTTTGTTCACCTTTATTACTTCACTCTCCCATGTTCTTTACCCTTGAAATTATTCTTAGCTAAATACATTGGAAACAGAGATGATCAGATACAACATAGATCAGATTAAACCCATTTTGAGATAATATTGAAAAATTGAGAAGTTAGTCAAAAAATACGCAATACACAAAATTAGCACTTTGATATCATTGCACTGTATAACATCATTGGCAAAAGCATTCGATTATGACTGATAGCAAAAATGATTTATATCGCTTCATTAAAACTGGTTAAATTTGACCATCCAGGTTGGAATCCTAATTTAATGTCTCATAACTACAATAAAACGTACAGATATTCATTAACGAAAGAATTGCGCATTACTCTACTAATAAATGATTTGGCCTTGGGGTGGGCGATGACTTACCTCCACGTGATGCACCCTGGGTAACGTTTACTCATATGGCAAAACACTATTAGCAGGCTGTTGACTTTTGACTTAAAACTACCAACACCCCACTGTATGCCATATTCGACCACTTTCACAGTACTCATCTTACCTTTCATCTACCTTTGTGTCTGTCTCTTTTATGTCATTGAAACACTCAACTGTTCCCTTCCTCCCTCTTTCGACTTATCACTCTGATGTTCCTCCTTCTCTCTGTGAAGCCTGAAACCAACTAATGGGCTATTGATAACTATCATAAAGCCTGCCATTTGATATAAACAAATAAAAAAATGAATGATTTGGCTTTTACGCAAAAATTCAACCGTCACGTAAACACGTAATCACGATCTCCACTCGTCAGTCACTTTTCTTTTCCCTTTCTCTATCGTTGTCCGACACGATGCACGCATCTCAATTCGGGGTGTTACCTTCTACTAGGCCTTACGAGATTATTGGATTTCTGATTATTGATTCCTGAAAGGAGAATAGAACGTTGATTCGTGGTCTCTAAATCACCCAATGGTGTGAAGTTGGGTGCGATGCTGTTTCTTTCATTTTCCAATTACTTTTATATTGAATTGAATCAGTCGTGTTGGCCGTGATTATATCCAATAGGGTCAAGCGCTTTTTCCCACAATGCTCCATATGAAGGCAAGTTTTCGCTCCATTGCTAAATACGCCAAAGGGACCAGCTTCCTCAATAAGAGAGTGTAGCTCGAGCTTTGTAGCACTGAATCAATTTGGAATGTACCATTACCTTATGCAGCAACTAACCAACATCCAGTGGAAATGGAGGCTCTTGTCATGCTCATTCCTTTCCTGTACCATTCTTTCTTTTCTGTTATTATGTCCAC